AGTCACGATACGGACCTACCAAAACTGTCAAAATACTGATCTGAGTTTGTTTGCTCAAAATGTTGACCAAAGTCAACTCGGATGAGTTTTAAAGCTCTATTTCATATTTTAATCCATTTTTCACATAAAAACTTTCTGAAAAATTATACGGACAGGCACGCAAGTCGAAGAAAGCTAAACGGTGCTATTTGAGATTTTAGAATACATAAATAATATTTAAAATTAAATATGACATATTAGGTCACCATATTTTTAGTGTCCAATGCTGGGATTATAAGATTGCCACCTCCACAAGAAGTGGATGAAGCAATACTTCATGAGAATGATGAGGTGTTTGATACAGAACCAGATCCTTTAAAATGGCCAAGAAAATCAGGGGTTCCAAATTATGACGTTTTTGAATTAGAGGACTTTTGGTATGATAGTCCACCAGAGAGGTTTAATTTGAATGTAAGTTGCTCATAAAACCTTCTACACTTCTGGAACTTGTTGCCAATATTTATTGTGTTTGTTCTCTCTTCATTCCTTCCCTCACCCCAAACCCCACCCCCACCCCCTCCATTTTCTCATTTTTCCCTTTTTAATATTTTTGGGTTTCTCTGTATGTGTATCTAATTTTCTTCAGCTGTCACTTTTCGCTACAATATTTAATTCCCTCTTCACATGGATATTATCATCGTCCTTGTCATTTATATATGGGAACGATGAAAGAATTAATGAGGAGTATTTGTCTATCAATGGAAGAGAATATCCTCGCAAAATTATGTTATCTGATGGCCGGTCAACTAAGATCAAGTAGACTCTTGCTCCCTGTCTCACTCGAGCATTACCGGGATTGGTTACTGACCTTAGACTGCCTGTACTAATATCAGTTTTAGAGCAAGGAGTGGAAGTTTACACTTTCAGATAGTAACCGTCCCCTTCCCAAGCTATTTTAGCAGAATTATGGAAGTAGTCAATTCAATGACTTCTGCATGTTGTGAGGAGACTTTAACTATTTTTTTGGGGTGCAGCTAGGACCCAATTTAGTTTTTTCATCTGGTTTGGTATTGGGAAGCAATATTAATCTCATTGTTTTATTTGTTAGGACTTCATTTGTTAGTAGGGGATACTTTACATATGCATTATGTATGTTGACTATTGGCAGTGTGCATTGCATGAAGTTGTAAAATGCAGGAAGCTTTTAAAGGATTGTCTAGGCTACCTGAAAGTTCAAATATTTTGATTTTCTTTTTCACTCACCTACAGTGCAAAAATAGGTGACCAACTTTTTTCACTTCATTTTCACAAAGAAAACATCTTGAGGATAGAGTCCATTTCCTCTTATTTAAGTTTTCATGTGTGAGCACAACTTTCTTTGCCAGTAGCCATGAGAAACATGAAAGATTATATGGTATCTTGGTCTTCCAAATATGTTTTCAGGGCCAGTTGGTGACTTGAGATATTGGTTGGTTTATCGTTTTATAGGCTGCATTGACATTGAATTTTTTACTATTATGTCCCTACCATCTCAATGTGTCATCTCCATTCTGAATTCCTGTGAAGTTGCAAAATTATGTTTGTAGAACTCAATCATTCTATTTATCTCCGGATCATTCAAGTCTCTTCTGAGTATTAGTTCCCAACCTTGAGTTGACCACATTCCAGCTATAGATCTCTGTTGATGATGAACTAAAACATATATGTTAGAGAATGAATCATTCAGAGCTCCATTCCCCATCCAATTGTCATTTCAGAATGATGTCCTTCTACCATTTAGCACTTTACTAGAGACTTGATTTTTTAGAGCTGGCCATAATACCCTTATAAACCTTCAAATACTAACTCCATAGGCTGTGTTAACTGGCTTAATCATCCAGTTATTTTCTACTTCATATTTGACTTTGATTACCTTGCTTCATAAACATTGAGGGTCTTGAGAATACCTCCACAACCACTTTAGTTTAAGGGATTTGCTGTGATTCTTCAATTTTTTAATTCCTAATCTGCCATGAGCTTTGTTCAGAGTTACCTCTTTCCACTTGACCAAGTGATAGGCCTTTTTTTTCTTTTTTGTCTTGCCAAAAAACTTTTCTTCTTATGTTATCCAGCCTTTGAATGACTCCCACATGAATGGAAAAAAGGGACATCATATAGGTTGGCAGTGAGTCTAATATTTACTTAATCAGAGTGAGCCTTCCTCCCATTGACAAATATTGACATTTTCATCTTGAGAGCTTTTTCTCACATTTCTTCAGTACATTATTCCATATTACAGTAGATTTTAACTTGGCCCCCAGTGTCATACCTAGATAGGTAGTAGGGAGAGTCCCCACTTCTCCCCCCAGGATTAGTGTCAAATCCTCCATGTTTGTTACTTCGTCGATTGGAAAAGATGACTCTTCCTCCAAATAATGTGCAGCCCAGAAATGCCTTAAAAAATAACAGTATAATCCTCAAAACTCTTAGTTGTTCCACTTCTGCATCACAGAAGATCAAGGTGTCATCAGCATATTGAAGATGTGTAATCTCCTGATTGTTATGTCCATTCATGGCTACCTCAAAGCCTTTAATCCACCCATTGAGTTTGATTGTTTTGATCGTGTAGTTCAAGCCTTCCATGGCTATTATGAAAAGAAAAGGTGACAAGGGATCACCCTGCCTGAGACCTCTCTAAGTATGAAAGAATCGTTATGGAGAACCATTAATAATGACTGAGAATTTGACAGTAGATATGCAAAATTTTATCCATTTAGTCCATTGCACTGCAAATCCCATTTGTTGTAGCGTGCTTAGTAAACAATTCCAATTCACATGGTCAAATACTTTCTCAATATCTAGCTTGTCTCAGTGGCTCCTTTTCGTAATGTATATTCCTATCTTAGCTGAACTCATTTGTATAACAAATTTTCACGTGAACTCGTTTAAACTTGAATATTTGCTCCCTGAGCCCATTGTGAAATTAAAGCTCATTGGGCCTGTGTTGGCACGGGCTGCACCCATCTAGTGCTAATATAAGCGCCGCCTTGCGATTCCCAAATAATCCAAAGCCGTTGAGGTAACATAATCACGCCTCTAACTTGGGTCTGATATTATTTCTAAGGGTATAGGAGTGTTTTGTCGAGGAATAAACCTAGATAGTCCCTTATGTATGGGTATAGGGGTATTTTTATCCCTTAATTATATTACTTACTATAAAATATCCCTTATTTTTGTAAAAATAGTCATGTTTGGTCTATCCATTAACTGGTTCCCAAAACTAACGAAAAAACACAAAATTTAATGGTAATTATTCACAGTTCACTCCATAGCTATCATTTTTCCACTGTTTAAATTGTCCCTTCTTCCTAAAGAATCGTCATTTCACAACTATTTCTCAATACAAAAAAATCCATCTGAGAAAAAAATTCCACCACTTATACAGAAATTAAAAGCTTCTCTATCTCAATTCCAATAGAGAACAACAGCACGGTTGAAACAGAGGTTTCAGTTTCACTCTCTGTTCAAAGTAGCTTGTTAATCTTCTGATTCTATTTTTTCGAATTACCTTTTGAACTGTTGTGATAGTTTTAGACCGGAAGGTTATTGTTAATCAAATCTGAAAGAATATTTTCAGCTCATCTGAAGGTCCATTCTTCTCTTTTACTCTACTTTTTCAATGTTCTTCTTTGTCGTCCAAAGCATGGTAGTAGCTCATCTCAAATTTACTTAGATCCTTAGTTTCCATGTTTTTTTTACTTGTGACTTCTTGTAGTAATTCTTTTGTGGGGAAAGGGAGTCACCGGAGTGGGAGAATGGATGAGCAAAGGGGACGATGGGATTAATTTGGGGAAGGAGAATAGAATATAACTGGATGAGCAAAGGGGAAAATGGGATATTTTATGTTTAGTAATATAAGTAAGGGCCGAAAATACTCATATACCCATACATAAGGGACTATCTAAGTTTAAATTCATATCTTTCATTTCAAACAAAAAAGGATGGTTAGCTTTAGGCCACAATATGGCTTCAACTTTTTCATCTGTTGTTGCAATATATAATCGCACATGTCGCTAGTAGCTTGAACCCGCAACCCGCTCCGTATAAGGTATAACCGCACGCCCTAATTTGAGTGCCAAAAGGAAACACACTCTCGTTCAATTTCCTTATCTCAATTCAATTTCAAGGAATCCTAACTATAATTTATTAGCTTAGAAGAATTTAATGGCTCTTGGATTAGAGTCCTAGTACTTTAGTCGTTACCCCCTTGAATCATTCTTGTAATTGTCAATTGTTCCCACCCATATCGGATACAGTTCAATGTCAAAACATTCTACTCCATAGCTTGCATAGAGTTCCCAAAAGTCCTTGAGTGAAATCCAACAAGTTGAGTCTGGTTATTTTTAGTTCTTCGTTTCAGTGTGTAGGAAATTAGAGGAATTAGAAAACTTTTCTTCCGTATTGTATTTTTCTATCTCATTTTTTGTACAAGGCTCTGAATATATACAAAGAAGACGCTGACAAAGAATATTCTAACCTATAACTGACTCCAGTTGTCCTATACATCATTGACTAGATTGTAACAAACTTGTATTTAAAGAAAAGAAAAAGAACAAAGAATGAATTATCTACAAATACATGTATTAGTTCTAGAAGGAACTGAAAACTTTATCCTTGTGATTTCTGGGCTGAGAATAGGTTTAGAAGTGGGTTGAACTCGTTTGTCTTCTGAGGCCCATTTAGATAGCCCAATATGTTAGGCCTGTTTTCCATTCATAAGCTTAGATATTAACGAAATAACCTCATTTGTAACTTTACCAGATCTCTTTCTTCTTTATTCATATTTATTCGAACCAGAATATTCTTCACCCCCCTCAAGTTGGAAGGGTGCAATAAAACCCCAAACTTGCCAATAATCGTCTGATGATGAACCCCAGGTAAAGGCTTTGTGAAGATATCGACAAGCTGAGAAGCAGAGGGAACAAAATGAAGGGAAATGAGGCCAGCAAGAAATCAATGACGGATGAAGTGGCAATCAAGCTCTACATGCTTGGTTCGTTTGTGAAACACGAGATTCTTCGCAATATGTATGGAAGCCTGGCTATCCGAGTGAATAGAAACTGGAATCGAAGGAGTAATAGTAAGATCGGAGAGTAATCTAACAAGCCAAGTGATCTTCGCATGGACCTATACTCTGCTTTGGCAGAGGAAAGCAAAATGAGAGGTTGCTTCTTTGATTTCCACGACACAGGGGAACCACCGAGGTTGATGAAATAGCCACTAACAGAGCGGCGAGTCTGAGGGCAAGATCCCCAGTCAGAATCGCAAAAAGCAAGGAGCTTGAAGGAAGGATCAGACCGTAAAAACATACCAAGACCTGGATCGTTGAGCAGATATCGGAGACAGTGAAGAGCTGATTGGAGATGAGGTAGCCGAGGAGACTGCATATATTGGCTCAAATATTGAATGGAAAAAAATAAATCCGGGCGTGTATGAGTGAGGAAGTTGAGTTTGCCCAATAATCGACGGTAGACGGTAGGATCTAGCAGTAATTCACCAGCATCAGCCCGAAGCTTGATGGATGGTTCGAGTGGGGAAGCAGCTGACCGTTGATCAAAAAGATTGAATTCTGATAAAAGCTCCAAGGTAAAGTTTCTTTGAGTACTGACTAAACCTTGAGGTTCCCTGAGAATTTCCATGCCTAAGAAAAAATGTGCATGTCCAAGATCCTTTATTTTAAATTCTTAATGAAGAAACTCTTTCAAAACTGTCATCTCATATTGATCATCCCCTGTCAATAGTATATCATCCACATAGACTGTTAGAATACATACCCTAGTAGGTGACTTCTTGAAAAGCAATGACTAATCATTCAATGAATGAGAATAGCCTTTGAAATTGAGGGCGGCAGTGAGCCGGGCATACCATTGCCTTGAGGCTTGCTTCAGCCCATATAAAGACTTCTTTAGTTTGCAAACATGATGAGTACTAGGGATTGTCATACCTGCAGGAAATTTTATATAAACTTCTTTATGTAAATCACCATGAAGAAAAGCGTTGTTAACATCTAATTGAAATAAATTCCAGCCTTTCTTAATAGCTACTGCTAACAAACATCTCACAGTGGTTATTTTAACCACAGGTGAGAAAGTTTCAGTGTAATCAATCCCCTCTCGTTGGATGTCACCCCTAAAAACTAATCGGGCTTTAAATCTCTCCACACTCCCATCTACATTGTACTTAACTTTGTAGACCCACTTATATAGTAGAGCCTTTTTTATCTCGAGGAAGTTCAACTACATCCCAAGTTTGATTGGCTTCCAAAGCCTCAGACGCTTTTGCCATTGCTTCCCGCGAACATGGGTGCAAAGAGGCTAAAATCGTAACTGGTTTAGGGATATGGGAAATAGATTTAAGTAAGATTTGATTTGACTTAGTGAGAGCAGAAAATGGTAAAACAGTAGTGCAAGGTGAAGCTGCAAAACAAGAGGCAATCAGGTTAGTTAAATAAATACTATTGCATATGTAATCTGCCAAATAAGAAGGAGGATTAGATACTCTAGTGAAATGTCTAAGTATGGGAGCAGGAGTAATAGAGGGAGAAATAGAAGGGCTGGAAACAGGGGTAGAAACAGGGAAAGGAACAGGGGTGAGAGGTGATGAAATAGGAGAAGGAGAAGGTGAACTCTGAGGATGGGAGCTACTGGAAGTAGATAGAATGGGAGAATCTGGAGAAAAAGGAAAATGTTCAGCATGAGAGGAAGGAAAAGATGAAAGAGTAGACTCAAAATAAGGGAAAATGGGAGAAGAAGGAGAAGAAATAATGCTTGAAAAAGGGTAAGTATCTTCAAAGAATCTAACATCCCTAGAAACAAAAATCTTTTTAGTTTCTAGATTTAGGAGCTTATAACCTTTTTGATTGAAAGGGTATCCAATGAAAACACATTTGACAGCCCTAGGTTCCAATTTAGACCTTAGGTGAGAGAGGGTAGAGGCATAACAAAGACAACCAAAACATCTTAGTGACTCATAGGTTGGTGGCTTCCCAAACAACAGTTCATAGGGGGTCTTGAAGTGTAACACTTTTTAAGGAAATCTATTGATTAGGTAGGTAGCAGTCAATAGGCCCCCCCCCCCCAATAAGTCACTGGTAGGTGAGATTGGAAAAGCAGTACTCTACAAATTTTCAAAATATGTTTATGTTTTCTCTTAACAACCCCATTTTGTTGTGGGGTAGCAACACATGTAGTTTGGTGAAGTATCCCCTGAGAGACTAAAAAATCTGAATGTAATAAACTGGATCCTAATTCTTTTGCATTATCAGATCTGATGACCTTAACCTCTGTTGTCTCTCTACTAATGTAAGAAAATATTTTAAAATAGTAAAGGCATTGCTTTTGGTTTTAAGAAGATATGTCCATGTTCTCATACTAAAATCATCCACAATTATGAGAAAATATCTATATCCATCATGTGTAATGACTTTGTAGGGCCCCCAAGTATCCACATGAATAAGTTCAAAAATAGACTTAGAAGAAATTGAGCTATTTGGAAAAGGCAATTTGGCTTGTCTGGCTTTAGAACAAACATCACAAGCAACATTGAAATTGGACAAAGAAAGATAGAGGAAAATTTGATAGATTTCTCATACCAGTAAAAGGCAAATGCCCCAATCTTTGATGCCAAAGGCTTACATCTGAAGATAATTTGGAAACACTAGGCTGAGAGAGTGAAACAACTGGACTAGTAGTGCTATTACAAACTGAACTAGAAACTAGATTCTTTGTAGAAATTAAACTAGGAATAACTGAAACTGAACTAGACTTGACAGGAGCTGATTTGAGTAGATAAAGCCCATGCTGAACTTCACCAAGAACTACTACCCTCTTCATTGAAGGGGCCTACAATATAGCAGCAAAAGAGACAAAAATTAACAAACAGTTTAATTGAGTGGTGAATTTATGGACTGAGAGAAGGTTGAATCTGAATTCAGGCCCAAAGAGTACATTGTGAATAACTAAATTAGATAATATAGTAGCACTTCCTTTGTGAGTGACCCTTAATTTTGTGTGAATTTGGCAGATTAACATATACTGCTCTACGCAAAGGTTTAATGTCAAACAATAAAGATTTATCATATGTCATATGCTCTGAAGCTCCAGAGTCAAGTATCCAAAAGTTAGAAGTAGTATGAGAGAATAAAGAAAAAGAATTAGGGTTAAGAAAAGGGGTAATGATACCAGCACAGTTGGAAGAAACATTATCATAAGAAGTTTGTTCACTTTGTTGTCCAACTTTCACCTCTTGCAGTAATTGAAAAAGCTGAGTGAATTCTTCCTGTGTTATGACATTTCCATTAGAGAGACTTCCCTGATCCTGAATTGGTTGCATGTTGTTAGCATCAGAACCAACAGTGAAAACATTGCTTTGTGCATCAGCTTGCATCCTCTTGGATTTTGTGAATTTGAAATCACTTGTGAAACCTATCAACCTGTAACAATTTTCAATAGAATGATTTGTCATTTTGCAATATGTGCAAAATTTTCCTCCCTTTTGTTTATCAGAGTTTGGTTTGAATCGTCCATCAGTCCCATTGAACTTCTAATTGTATGCAGGCTTGTGAGGAGAGTTGAACCTCTGAGCAGTGTTGAACTTCTGATTACTTACCATGAAGGCTGCATCAGAAAGATGAGAAGCCACATGAACATGCCTTTGTTTCTCATCTTGCATGAGCAGGGAGTAATCATGGCTGACTGTGGGCAAAGGACCCATCATGAGGATGTTGCTCTTAACCCCTAAGTAAGCTTCATTCAAACCCATGAGAAACTGAATCAGCCTGCCATCCTGAAGTGACTTGATAGTTTTTGCCTTTCCTCCACAAGAGCTCTTGCAGGTACAATGATCAGCAGTGTTAAGTGCATCTAATTCATCCGATATTTTCTTAATTTTAGTAAAGCAGCCTGCTATATCAGAGGCTCCTTGAGTAGCATCAGAGAGTTCCTTTTGGAGTTGGTATAGTTGTGCTCCATTGCACTATCCAAATCTGGTTGCTAACTCCTTCCATATTTCCTTTGCAGTCTTAGAATAGAGAACAGACTCAGCTATGTCTTTTGAAAGTGAGTTGAGAATCCATGAAATTACCATATCGTTACAACGACTCCATGCTTTATACTGAGGAGAATTCGAGTCTGGCTCTGAGGAGGTTCCATCAATGAAAACAACTTTGTTCTTGGCTGATAGTGCGATGACTATAGCCCTGCTCCATCCAGCATATCCCTTTTCCATCAAAGAGACAATTCACGAGCACCATATCGGGCGAGTCAGAAGGATGAAGATAATAGGGATTGGAGATGTCAATTTGAGAGGAGTTGCCTAAAGCTAGAGTGGTTGAAATTTCAGTGTTGTCTGCCAATGACAAAAGGAAAGATAAAAAGAGGAAGATGAAAATAAAAGAAGATGATGCAGAAAAGAATTTAGAGCTTGATGAGCACGTAAAGCTCTGATACCATGTAGGAAATCAGAGGAAGTAGAAAATTTTTCTTCCGTATTATATTTCTCTATCTCACTTTCTGTACAAGGCTCTAAATATATACAAAGAAGATGCTGACAAAGAATATTCTAACCTATAACTGACTCCAGTTGTCCTATACAATGATGTTTTTGAATCAGAGGACTCTTGGTATGATAGTCCACCAGAGAGGTTTAATTTGAATGTAAGTTGCTCATCAAATCTTCTACACTTCTGAAATTTGCTACCAATGTTTATTGTGTTTGTTCTCTCTT